TCGGCTGGCTTCAAGAGCCTCTAGACGCTGCTGCACTTCAGCTTGTGCAGCAGTTCCTTCTTGAATTCGGCTCTCAATAGCAGCCTTGAATTTGGAGACGTCCACTCCCATATGCTCCTGGAGGAATTTTTCCCCTTCCATCAGTGGGGGAAAAACCTCCATCTCCATAGCATCGCAGAAGGTTTTCAGAGCTTCGGCAGCTTTTTTACCGTACTCCTCAACCTCCTGCTGCTTCTCTTCAGCTGCTGCTTGCTTCAGCTTAGCAAGCTTAACTTCCTCTTCAGCCACCTTCCTTTCGTGCACAGCAGCGTCTACCCTATCTTGTAGGGTATCAATCAGCTCTACAGTGAGAGTCTGATTGTGCACGAACTGAAAACAGGAAGACAAAAAAAAAAATAAGTAATAAAAAAAAAAATAGAGCTGAATTTCGGAGGAAATGAAGGAAAATTACCTGCATCATCAGCAGTTGGTTAGACCTGGCTGGGTCAGGAACTGATCTACTGGATTCGCCCATCCCAGCAGTGGCCTTCAGCGACCAGATCCTTGCCCTGTCTACTTCGGACATGCCAGCAAAACTGCCGAAGTAGGCTTCAGCTCCTTCTCGGTTTTGACCCCATATGAGGTCCCAGATGTGATCTGGGATTGGAATTCGGGGGGCCGAGAAACCCATTTCTCCAGAATGCAGAGTCTGGAAAGAAGGGAAGGACGACGATGGAGCTTGATTAGCTTTGGTTGTCTCAGCATCGTCCTTCTCAGAGGAGTCAAGTACTATGACCTCCTCTTCTTCAGGGGTGAGGACGAAAGCCTCAACCTCTCTTGCGATATCTGCCGTGAAGCCTTCAGCACTTGACATCACGGCATCTTTATTTTCGTGCTCAGCAGCACTCTCCTTGATTTCTTCTTGGACCCCTCCCTTAGGTTCGGGAGTTCTCTGATCCACCTCCATCTCAGGAGGTGGCGGAGGGGTCTTTTGAGGAGATTGGGGTGTTGGCTGGGGAACCCTCGGCGATCCATTGCCTTCCTCAGGTTCCCTTATTGCGACGCCGATGGTCATCGGCCTCTGCTGAAAATCATGAGGGCCGATGATGGCCATCCTTCGGCGCCTTTTCAGAAGAGGCTGCTCGTCCATATCTGAGTCTGAAGACTCTTGTATTTGATCTTCGGGACGAACAGGAGCTTTGCCTTCTCTGTGTCTGTTACTCTCTTCAGACTGTAACAGACAGGGGGGAAGAAGAGTGTGAGTAAAAAAAAAAAAAAAAAAAAAAAAAAAAAAAAAAAAAGAAGAAAAGAAAAAAGTTGTCTGAAAGCTCACCGAGGTCTTCAGCAAAGCCTCGTCTTCTTCAGCTGCTCTAGCTGCAGTTTCGGCTTCAGCAGCTCTGGAGGACCCTTCTCCTCCTTCACAAGCCTCAAGTACCCGTGCAACCTCTTCGGCTGTGCGGGCAGCTTCAGCTTCTTCGTTCAGCAGCTGAAACCAAGGGTCTCTCTTCTTCCACCAAGGCTTCTGCCTCTGATACAGAGCAACAGCCTCAATTTGGAAGTGGGAAGAGTCCAGATGAACTTCCCTATGCCTCGGCTCAGTGATAGACGGGGCCCGTTCAGTTACAACTCGCTCTCGGTTAACACCAAGACGAGCGTAGTTAATACCAACGTTGGTCTCGTCCCGCTCTGAAAAAAGGAAAGGGAAAAAGTTTAGCTCAGATATGTTGGCACAGCATAAAAAAGCAAAGCGAGAGAAGAAAAAGAGGTAGTTAAAAGCCTCGGCCCCAGCCGAAGAAGCTTACCATCCTTAAACTTTCGGCTGAGGCCAACAGCTGCTAGCATATTCTCTTGGAAAACGTAATGCGTATCGGGGAGCCAAGTCTCCGGGATATGCTGCATTCGACCACTCCCCCCCGGGTTCGGCAGCTTGCCGAAGATATGTTGCTGATCCAGGTTCGGATCCGCCCCGTTATCTGCGGGGGGACCTAGACTTCCCATTTCGGGATCAGGCTCAGCTAAGTACCGGGGAGCGCTGAAGACACAAGGGTGGCCCGGATCTATGGGTGCCCTAACCCAAATCCATTGACCTCTCCAGTCCTTGTCTGAAGAGTCATTTGGCCACATGGTCAAATATTGGGGCCGGGACTCAATCCGATACCACCCAGAACCATGGCTTCCGTGCCCACTCTGAATATTTGGCACTAGCCGATGGAGCTTTCTGAAGCAGTGCAGGTTCGGCACGTATCTGAAGAACTTGCAGACCCATAAGTATGTCATCACCCTTCGGATGCTGGTGGGGGTTAGCTGACATAGGGAAATGTTGTAATGGATCAGCAAGTCTCGGACGAAAACGTCCAAAGGGAACCTCAGCCCATACTGAAGCTGTCTCGTGTACACCCCCACATACCCCGGGGGTGGACGATGGATTCTATCGGATGCTGAGGGCATTCGGCACCAATATCCATCAGCTTCAAAAATGCCGTAGTGCAACTCAATTTGCTCGGCAAATCGATATTGATCGGCGTTCTCTACCCACCATGAGTAGGGGCGGTTCTTTATCATGGCCGAAGCGACTTCGGCATTCTCCCACTCTGAAAACCCAGGGAGGATATCCCAAAGGACAGCGGGAATTTCATCGTCCCGTCCAGAAGCACTCGGCTCATCCGTTCTTTGAGGAGGAGCCGAGGAAAGGGGAGTCGCCCTAATCCCATCAGCAGGGTCAGACTCCGGCCTTCGACCATTCCAGGTCCCAATCCTATTCCTAGGATCGGGAATCGGCCTTGCTCTTCTTGGAGCACGGGCTCTACCTCTAACTCCTCTTGCCATGGACTATTTCGAAGAGAAAAGTCGAAAGAAGAGGGGAAGGAGTTCGAATTCGAAGAAAAATAAACTGAAATCAAAGGAATTTACCTAATCTGAAGCGAAAGTTGCCGATTTACGAGTTCGTAGTGGCAAGTCTCAGCTTCTAAGCTCAATGCTCGGGGGAATTTGCGAAGTTTTGATACGGATTCTTGGATTCTCTCTCGAAGAATTCTGGGTTTGTGTTGGTGAATCAGTGAGGAGAATGACGCGCCTCTGTTTATATCTCCAGGTACGGGATACGAAGAGTCTGTGCTTTAATTTCTCTTAAGTACCCACTAAGTAACCATTAAACACATGTCTTGTGATTAAACCGCCCATTATCCGTCCAACTTCCGCAAATCATTAACCGTTGTTATCTCATTAATTACGGTTTAAATTCAAATTTTTGGATCAATTAAATCATTTACTTCCCTCCTTTTCTGAGTTAAATCAAACCCGACCCGTCATTCTTCCGAATCGGGTCTGGGGGGCAAGTTGTTTGGGTCCAATTTAGTCAAAATTGGGCCTGAGCACTAAATGATCCAATTAAAAGCCCAAGGTCAAGGTTCAACTCTCCAATTGCTCAAAAGTCAAAAGTCAGCCCACAAAGTAAGCCAATTGGGCTAAAGCCCAACCTCTCCAAATATGATGAGGTATAAAAGCCCTCATATTAACACATTCAAGAAGACATCTCATAACATCACATACGAGATCATACACTATCAGACACATTGTCACTTGCATTATCTCATACACCGATTATTGCAATTCATATGCTCATTCTTGCATTGAGAAATACTCCACAAAAGCCTCAAGCTACAAACTCTCTTGCATAGTGTCTTCCTTTTTACACATTGTACTGACTTTAGCATCGGAGGGGCCTTCCTCGGAAACACCAGTTAAATTAGTTCAACCAACCAATCCAATATTATCTTTAGAGCTAGTTGATACACATAATTTCTTATTAATAATAGCTAATATATTATTACTTCGTATTTATTGCTGATCACGATGACTATTATGCTCGATCTTGGATATTAGGTAATAAAACTGTCATATGTGTTGGGCCCGTATTATCAAGTGATCCAATGCAATTAGGGCACCATTTTATGATCAAAGGATACACTAAATCAATCAAAACGGCCTAATTGGAACAAGTATGGCAAGTGAGATTAGAATATCAATCATGAAGATACTTGCCAAAAATACACCTTCTGAACGGGGAAATAGAATAAAATCAAGAGGATCTCCCACGTTTGAATATACTAGTTGAGCCATCGCGCGCAAAGCGCGCGATAGCCCAATAAACACGGATTATTTGTAAGTAATGATATTGTTAAATAGATGGGTTGTACTAATGTAATTTATTTTGTGTGGAGTAGTAATTTGTGTCATCGGGTTCTAAAATGTAGGAAGTGATAGTTTACTGATTCGATATCGTTTTTGGTTCTGAATATCCATGGTAGCACATTCTTTTTACAATCTAGTGAAAATTGTAATTGTTGTTCTAGTTTGGTTGCTTTTTAGCGTTTAATACACAAAATGATAATCTGGGTAAAGTAGATTATGGTTTTGATATAAAAATGCTAAGAACTTTGTGTTATTTTAATTATATCGGTTAAATATTTGTTGTGCTAATTGTTTTGTTTTATATCCAAAATTTGTGCGCTATTACAAATGTTGCGACACAAATTTATATTATAAATATTACTAACACATGTGTGTAGATATTGTGTATGTACAAAATGTTATGAATTACGAATTACTCTTTTTACAATTGTAACTGTACGTACAGTTACAGAATATATATAAGATACGATCATCTAAGAAGTCGAAAAGTTGTACTTGATCTCGAAAGTTTGTAAAGAAGCTGAAAAGTTGTAATTTGTAACTCATAAGTTCTTTTATTGTTTGTAGATTTTGTCATGACTGTTAGACTTCCTGTATTTGGTCAGTTGAAATCCTCTTTTGCGTGGTGTATAAATTTGGCTCTGCTATGCTGTATTGTCTTTCATTTTCCTGTCTTTCCTTTCTTTTTTTTTTTTGCTTCATCTTTCTTTTTTCTCTGTGTTTTTGTGCTTGCACCTTACCAACAACAATGGCTAGCACTGATAGTACGGCTACTTCTGGCAAAGTCACAGGAGCAGAATGTTGCAAGTTTCCGAGTCTATGTTATGAGTATGGAAATGAAGATGGACAGTCATCTGAAATTGCTACAACAAGGAATGTCAAAAGCGGAGAGGGCTGAAGAAAAAGGAGAACCGAGCAACAAGCGAAAGCGAGGAATTGAGAAGGATGATTGTGGAGAATGGCCGGTGATTATTGTTGAGTCAGACAGCGACGAAGATAAAAAGAAAAGTAAGAAAGATGGTGAGGCAAAAGATCATGGAGTGGAAAGCAAGGAAAAAGTTGAGATCAAGGAAGATGCTGAGAAGAAAGCAGGAGATGCAAAAGAGGGAAGTGAAGAATCCGAAGAAGACGAAGATGAATCTGAAGAAGATGAGGAGAGTGATAAAGAGGGGGAAAGTGATGCGGTTTCTGATTCTGAGACTGAGAGGATGGAAAAATTAGTTGCAGACCCAGAGGATGAGGACACTGAATCTAGGAGCAATGATGATGGTGATATCGGTTCGGGCTCTGATTCTGGGAACTGTGTGGAAGGAAATCGCGAAACAAGTGAAGACTCTTCTATGTTTCGTATGAAAATTCCTGATTAAAAAGTTTAATGTGAAAGATTTGAGTTTAGGAGTTGTTTTTTGTTTATTTTGGGAAGGTTGTTTATGGATAAACTTTTGAAATGTTAGCAACTTTCTATTTTTGCAATGTTTTTTTGGTTTGTTAGGATAAGGTTGTTGTTCTTAGGTTTTTGGTTGTTTTTTGGGGCTGCTAGATTTTAGCGATTAATTAGCTGATGCTATTATTATGATGAATGTAATTAGTAAAGGAGGATAGTAGTTTGTAATTAGCACAGACTAAGCTTTTGCATTATATATATATGAAGAAGAAGAATATGAACTTGATTATATAAGTTTTGTTTGTTGTGGATGTTAATCTGTCATATGAACTTGATTATATAAGTTTTGTTTGGTGTGGTTGTTAATCTGTCATGTTATTTTTTATATAATATATACAATATAAGACGATCATTTTATATGTATCGACTATTGTAAGAATACAATGGGAATGTAAGATTTGTTGATTTTAAAATCTGTACATATTAAATTTAGCTAAAAAGAAGTTATTTGATTGTTGCATACTTACATGAAACTAACATAGTAATCAAAGTAGCAAGCCATAATAATATACTGCATTAGCTTGATAGCATAAGCAGAAAGTTACTGATTACAATAACAGGAACATGAAGCTAAGTTCCCTTGATAGTTTAAATACAATAGTGCTTGAGAAATTCTAATCAAGCAATTAGATAGCAAAAGATTAGTCTAAGAAGTAGTGTTATATAGGAATAGGTAGTCTAAGAGACCTATTCCTACATAAAACTATAGTGTTTGATTGGTCTGGTAGGTGAGTCTAGCCAATCAAACAGCAAAAGATGGGCTGATTATATTGAGTGTCAAGGATAACACTTCAACAACTGGTGTTGTTTAGGAACAGGATTTGTGCAAAATTTGTTCCTTTTCAAGACCACAGCCTTTAAAAGCCTTAAGCATAGCCGCTTTTGTGCTTATATATGTGGTCTTATTATAGGAGAAGTAATCTGAAGATACTTGTCCTTTTTCATAGCCACATTATGCATAATACTTACTTTGAATGCATTTAGCTAATTAGTATGTACATAGCAAAAGATTTAATAAGTGAAGCTGTTACCCAACTGATCTGTCATAAGTGTCCTGTTTCTTCTTCAGAGGTCATCAGAGTCATCATCCTGAAAGACGAGTGCTTTACGCTTGTTTTCCTTCTCCTGCTTAATAGCCTGATTTGCTTCAGCAGAAACAATGTCAGTGTCAAAGGCAACACTCTTGCCCTTAACTGCTGCATGATAAGCTGGATCTTTCTCCTTTTCTTTCAAGATATTTGCAACCTTGATTGTTGGCTGCACCTCATGCTCAATTACATCTTTATGTGGTGTAGCAATTTCAGAATCATCATCAACTCTAATTCTTTTCCTCTTTGAACCAGAATCTCCTGCACTTGATTGAGCTGTATTCTCTGCTGCAGCCATAGATTCTGCCAATATGCAAGCATCTTCTTCTTCCTGGCTGAAGATTGATAAGTCATAAGTCTCAACTGTTTCTTTTTTTATGCTCTTGCTTAGGCTCTTTTTTTCTCTGGCTGCAGATGAACTGGTTTTTGCAGCTGCATCATGTTTATCATCAGCTGTCTGCGCTGCATCTGTGACATCAAGCTCTACAGGAATATTTCCAGAACTGCTTCCTGCACCACCAGCAGTGATTGTGTCTTCCATCTCCACACCTTTGATACCCCATTGCAGAACGCCGTTTTGCTCCAGAGAAGTTGTAGGGCCAATCTTGAGTAAGAAGTATGTGCTACGCAGCTTATTAACTACTTGGCCAAACTTAGCAGTATCATCCTGAAACATAGATAGATTTTAGATTAATTTGTAAAGTAAACATTTAGGTGAAGCAAAGAAGAGTAATATCTGTTATCATCAAATGTGAACTCTAGATTATATACCATTGCTTTCATGTGATAAATATCTTCAGCTAACATGCCAAGTAGCGGAACAGAATTTTCAGTAAATGCAGTAAGCTGCAGAGCTCCTGTTCCATCCGAAGCAGTAAAAGTAATAGTGGCTCTGCATAAATTGACAAACCGGTTTAAGTTTTCAATTGCCATCAATAACATACTGCTTTTGCTATATAATGTAATCTGTTAGTAGTTTTTACCGGTAAGTAGCAGACACTTCATTTCTTTGACAAGATATGCAAGCATATACTGTTTCTAGTGATAGCTGTGTTCACTTTCCACAGTAAGAACATCCTATATATGCTCTAAGCCTGTCATACTGAATATCAGATGTTGTCACTCTGATCCAATAAATCTCCTGTGGAAGCGTCTTTGCTGCCTGCATTGGTAATATAAATGTTAGCATGATCTTGATTCTTAATATAGCAATTTAAAAATCATATAAGGATTATTGTTTTGCTATTAGTATAAATTAAAAAGAATTTTACAACAGCTGCATAAAGATAGTCTATCATATAAGTGTACTTTTTTGGCTTTGATGAAGGATATTGTTGTCAGAATTCTTTCTAAAGGTGGATTCCAAGCAGCTGTGACTCTAAGTTGATGCTCAATCAGTACATTGCGATGCTTTCTTGCCCTGTAGATCACAAATACATTTTGCAGTAATTTCAAAGAGTCTTAAATCGAAAGAAACTAAGGCACATGTTAGTTAGTATACCATTCAGTCAAGGCAGCTGCCTTTTCGCCTTCAGGATATTCAATTATGACAGTAGACATGGATGATTCAAGCTGAAAGCCTGTGATTTTAGGAGGGTAAATGATGTTATAATATGATTGATAATGAAGGGTATAGTGTGGAAAAGCATGCATTTATTAGTTAGTTCTTGGGTGTACCTTTGCGAGTGATAGGACGCAGTGCTGTGATGCCAATTACTCTGAAACTTTCACTGTCAGAGACAAGGCGTTCACACTGACTTCCAGATAAATCATTCCAGGTACACACTTTGATTGGCGAATCAGTACTGAAAGTAGATGGACAATGAAATGGAATATTTATTTATTGTAGTTATATGGTAATGCTCTGATAATAACAAGTCTATTTAAGGTATGCATGCAAGTACCTGTGATCTATTACCATCAAATCGCGAACAGAAGATTCCTTGTTCAGTGTTGTGACTATTTTGCGTGGTTCATTGGCAGCACAGAGCACAATAACAAGTATATCTAGAAAAGAAGAGAATGTGTAAGCAAATTGCATATAATGGATTGGATTTTTCAATTAGAAATTGAATTTTGTAGGCTAATTATTTGTTTTACCATGTCGAACATCTTTAGTAGAAACCTTTGGAATAGAAGCAAGAGATTGATACTTAGGAAACACCTGTACTCCTTCAGGATCCAAAGACTGGATTAGAGTTCTGCTGCCTATTGTCATCTAAAATGGCAAATCTGACTCTTTGGACCTATACTGTGGATCTAATGGCCTTATTAAGGCATTAGCAATGTCATAGTTTCCTCTAAACAAGATAACATCTTTGTATGCTTCAATTTGGTCTCCAAATAATGTCAGTTTCATGCGATTTTTCTGAGAAAAAAAGACATAAACAATATAGTTTTCTATTAGTACTTTATCATGTACTATGATTTGTTATAGGTTAAATGCATGTTTGTATATGGCATGTGTAGATTATACCTTGTCATCTTGTAAGATAATATACTGGTACAATATTTTCTTCTCAGACTCCTGCATTCTACCCTTTTCTGCAATATGCACTTTAACCTTGTATGATTTGCTCGATGTATCAAGTTCATCTAGAAACTTTCGTTGCGGTGCCATAACAAGACTTACTACAAAACAAAATCAGATAGCTTGATAAGTCCTGGCTTAATGCATACATATTTACATGTTCTGTTGTAAAAATATTTCAATAACTGAATATTCTTGTTTTTTTAGTACTGATTTCACATAAGCTACAATTTGCATATTAGAAAGAGTATAGATAGATGGATATAAAGCACTAAGATCAAGTAGAGCATCAGTTGTGTGCCATTGGAAGCAAGAAATCTGTCAACATACTTGAGCACATACTTAAAGGCATATAGGCATATACCAAGCACATTATGCACAAAACATGATTAGCAGACTATGTATATCTAAATTGCAAAATGATAAATAATTATCTGAAAACAGCAGCATTTTGTCAAAAGAATTCATTATTCTCTAAATCTGAGCATATTAAATAATTCTAGACTTTTCACTTTATATCCATGAATAATTAATAGCTAACTTCATTCACTTAGCATTCTATAAATCTAATCATACAAAACTAATTATGCTATGATCACAGTAACCATACTTTATGTCACTGCTAAGTAACACTACAGACAAACAATGACTTTTTCTCACATAAACATAACAGTTAGAATCTGTTACACAATAAATAGAAGCATATATGGAATCTAAGGATGGGTATTCAGCTAATAATGTCTTGCATAAAACTAACTTTAAATGCTAACAAAGGTAATAAATTGAAGTAGAATATAGGCTGATCATACCTGTCAAGAACCAGAGGATTGACTGCTGATGTTGAAGAATATCAATTCCTACTTCTCTGTGCGTGGCTTTTTCCTACTCCTCACCTTTTTTTTTTTTTTTAAAAAGTGATTTTCTACTTGCAGTATACTGGTAATATAATTAATTTGCTCAGCAACAACTAAGCCTAGTCTTTTTATAGCACAATCAAGCTTAAAAAAAAATTCAAAGGAAGAAGCAAGAATTCAAACTTACTGTTTTGTATAACAGTGTTCTGCTGTATTTTTTGCACAAAATCAGCTAGATATGTAGCTTGTACTTGAAAAAAACTTACATATAGATTTTCATATATAGTTGTGTATGTTTTTACTCTATAATTTGATCATAAACACTCCATCAGTAACATATTGTTCCCATCACATGCATTTCAAGTACTAAAGTAGATTTCATTGCTTGTACTTTTTTTCTCTCTTTTTTTTTGTTTTGGCTCTATACATATTTCTTGGACCATGCCTTTTT